GCCTCCATCGCACCCTATCCCCTCCCTCCACTACTGTTATATATTTAAATTAAGATTAATTATATTTTTACTTAACACTGTTTTTTGTATTCATTTATTCCTTACATATTTACTAATGGCAAAAAAAATTACAAACTGTTTTTTTTTTTCAGGAAACAAGTCACACAATAAGTTGATATAAGAAAACTTCCAGATGTTTGGTATCCAAAAGAAGCTACTGATTGCTGTTGCATTTCAAAATAAAAGCCCTTGGAAAGTGTTCGTTGTCATTCTTTTTCTTCTTAAATTACTGTCTTTATTGCAACTAAACGGCTAGTTGTCAGAGACTGGTCTCACTTCAGACTGACTCTAGAAGTCCTCCAGATGTTCCTCAACAATTCTGAGCAACTTTTGATGTAGCATTTCAAAATGATGGCACTCTTAACACTGATATTTTACAGTTATCGTTCCCCCAAGTTGCTGTCTTTATTGCAACCAAACGGACAGTTTTCAGAGACTTCTCTCACTTCARACTGACTCTAGAAAACRTCCAGATGTTCTTCAACATTTCTGAGCAACTTCTGGTGTAGCATTTCAAAAAATAAAATCACTCCCAATATTGACATACTGTGGTACCTTTATTGTTACCCCAAGTTGCTGTCTTTATTGCACCTAAATGGCTAGTTGTCAGAGACTGCTCTCACTTAAGACTGACTTTGGAAGACCTCCAAATGATTCTCAACAATTATGAGCAACTTCTGATGTAGCATTTCAAAATAATGGCACTCCCAATACTGACATTATACAGTTATGCTTCCCCTAAGTTGCTGTTTATATTGCAACTAAACGGCTAGTTGTCAGAGACTGCTCTCACTTCAGACTGACTCTAGAAGAAGTCCAGATGTTCCTCAACAAATACGAGCAACTTATGATGTAGCATTTCAAAATATGAGCACTCCTAATAGTTACATTATAACTTTCTCTGCCACTAAGTTGCTTTCTTTWTTGTAACTAAACGGCTAGTTGTCAGAGACTGCTCTCACTGCAGTCTGACACTAGAAGACCTCCAGATATTCCTCAACAATTATGAGCAACTTTTCATGTGGCATTTCAAAATAAAATCACTCCCATTATAATGTCACAATACATTGCTGTCTTTATTGCAACTAAACGGCTAGTTGTCAGAGACTGGTCTTATGTCACATGGACTCTAGAAGACCTCTAGATGTTCCTCAACAATTCTGAGCAATTTCTGCCCCTAAGTTGCCGTCTTTACTGAAAAAAACAAACAACAATTATGAGCAGCTTTTGATGTAGCATTTCAAAATAAAAGCACTCCCTCTACTTACATTATAACTTTCTCTGCCCCTAAGTTGCTGTCTTTATTGCAACTAAATGGCTAGTTGTCAGAGACTRTTCTCACTTTAGGCTGACTCTAGAAGACCTCCAGATGTTCCTCAACAATTACGAGCAACTTCTGATGTAGCATTTCAAAATAAAATCACTCCCAATACTGACATTTCACAATTGTGGTTCCCCCAAGTTTCTGTCTTTATTGCAACTAAATGGCTAGTTGTCAGAGACTGCTCTCACTTCAGGTTGACTCTGCTCAAAATCGTTGAGGAACATCTAGGTTTTCTCGAGTCAGGCTGAAACTAGACCTGTCTCTGACAACTAGCTTTTTAGTTGCAATAAAGACAACAACTTACTGGCAAAAAAAGTTACAATGTAACTATTAGGAGTGCCCTTTTTTGAAATGCTACATCAGAAGTTGCTCATAATTGTTGAGGAACATTTAGAGGTCTTCTGGAGTCAGTTGAGACCAGTCTCTGATAACTAGTCCTTTAGTTGCAATAAAGACAGAAACTTAGGTGCAGAAAAAGTTACAATGTTAGTATTGGGAGTGCTATTATTTTGAAATGCTACATCAGAACTTGCTCAGAGATGTTAAGGAACATCTGGAGGTCTTCTAGAGTTAGCTGAAGTGAGAGCAGTCTCTTACAACTAGCCGTTCAGCTGAAATAAAGACAGCAAGTGAAGAAGAAAAAGAATGACAACAAACACTTTCCAAGGTGTTTTTATTTTGAAACAGCAATTGGCACCTTTTGTTGGTTACCAATATCTGGAAGTTTTCTTATGTCAGCCTAATGCGTGACTTGTTTCCTGAAAATAACAGTTTGCAATTTTTTTTACATTAGTAAATGTTTAAGGAATAAATGAATACAAATAACAGTGGTAAAAGTAAAATTATAATCAATCTTAATTTAATTTCATAACAGTAGTGGAGGGAGGGGGATAGGATGAGATGGAGGCAGATGATCAGCTGTCTTTAGCCGAATCCTTGTTTGTTTCCCCAACACACACACACACACACACACACACACACACACACACACACACAC